TTGTGCCTGTAACTTGGGCGTTCCAGACATGGGTGACATCCTTGTCCAGGCGCATCCGCATCATGATCCATAGGGCTTCCGAGTCAACATTCTTGAGGTCCTCAAGCTTGACCTTAGATGCCTCCCATTCCTCCCTAAACTCCTCATCAATGAAATCCAATGGCCATTCTGGAGCATCACCCTCATGAAAATCATCAACCAAGTCATCGATGCGGCTTCCAAGGAAATCCACCTTTCCCTCTACCCTCTCCAAGCCTTCCTGGAAATCATCCATCTTGTCGCAAAGTTTTTGTAGGAGGTTGATGACCTCATTGGACCCTGGAGATCCTGAACCTTCACCTTGTGGAAACATGCACTTGCTTTTCTTTAATTTGCACCATTCGCAAGTATGCCTGCAGTGAATGAAACATTTTATGTCGTCCACCTTACAATGTCCACAATGCTCTATACACCATCAGCAAAATAGCTGGAACCTGTGGAAGAACCTACCATTATCCTTATATTCCTCATCATCCGCCTGCATCTCAGGCTTGGTCTTCAACTTCTTCAATGGCCTCCCAGACAGCCCTGCGACTTTCTCCTCTCCACTCAATACCACTGCACTGGACTTGACCTTCCTTTTCTTTGAATTCCCCATGGCCTCCGAATCCGTGGCCTTGCCCTTACCCTTCCTATCCTTCCTCTGCTTTACCAACTTTTTCAACGCCTTCCCCTTCGGGTCCTTCTCCCACTCATCATCTCCATCAGACCTGCTACCAACCTTGCTCCCCTCATTCCCATCTACCCTCTCCTTCTCCTTCTCCTTCCTCGCCTCCGCAGCCCTCCTTTCTTCTAAGGCCCTTGCCTCCTCTTCCAACCTCCGCTGCTCTGCAGTGGTTGCCTCTGCCTTTGCCTTAGCCTCTGCCTCCTCTTGCTGCTTCTTCTCCATGGCCTCCCGCTCCTCCCTCTCCTTCCTTGCTTTAGCCTCCACAACCTTTCTTTCCTGCGCCAACTTTTTCTCTTGCTGTTCTAACTCCAGAGCCCACCTCTTTTCCTCCTTTTGCTTCTGCACCTTCCAGGCCTCATGGGCCTCTGCGGCATCCTCCCTAGCCTTCTCTGCAGTGTCCCGCTCATCATAAAAGGCCTCTAGGTCTTCAGGCCAAATATCTTCAGGCGTCGGGGCAGGTTGGTATGGTTCAGGAGTCATGGAAGTGCAGTATTCAATGGTGGACGACATGCCCAACGATGAGGACAAAACTCAGAAAATAGAAGAGATGGTGGTGGTAGAAAACTAAGAGGTGAAAAGCCATGTGACCAACCTGAAAAAATTCCACATGGTCACACTTGGCCATCAGGATCTGTGTCCTTGAGGGCAAGAATGCTAAGAGGGGGATACTGTAATGAGCATGCCAATGGAAACCTGACTTCCACTCAACCCAACAAACCACAGCCTGGAAACCTATGGATTCCAATTCTCAGTTTCTATTTCATATTCCATTTCATATTCTTTTATATTTCACTTCTCCATTACAATTTATCAATAGCCTGACATCAGTAGTGAATATGTCATCGGACCCCATCGGCTACCAACCGGTAGAATACATCCTCCGACAATCCTAGAATGTAGACCACTCCAAGTAGAAATTAGATCAGACTCCTAACTAATATATAAGCCTTAGAATTACACTGTAGATACTTAGTTCGAATATCAACTTGGTTCAGCCCAATCTCTCTCTCTGACTCTGTCAACTCTTGTCCTCCAGTCCACGGAACTCCGATCTGGTGGACTTATCTCCCAATCCTTCCCTATCATTCCTTGGACTTCCATCTGTACTCATCTCAGGGCTTCAGCTCAGGGGTGACATTGCTAATAGCTTCACCTATGCCTGACACATCCTGTGGCATTCCACTACATGCACTTACTGCTGCAATCCTATTGGCATGATCCTAATATAGTATCAGCATAGTCAGCACGAGGTGTATTGTAGGACTTGTCTGGAGGATGACCTGGTTGATGATTAGGAGGATGACCATTAGGCACTGACTTGACAGGACATTGCTTCGATGGATCATGTTGCTCCATGGTGTGACTCTGCTGGCTGCACACATCACACTTCCTCCAATTCGAATGATTGGAACCCTTCAAAAGGTGCCACTGGATGTCGAGATCAATAACCCTGTCCATCAGAGCATCAAGGTAGCCAAAGTCAATACTGTCTGAAGTTTGCCCACAGTCCCTGGTCATCTCCTGTTGAAGAGGGAGGTACCAACCACCATCTTCAGGCAGGTTACACATGAAGTTCAATGCCATGTCAAAATAAATGAGGGGGTAGCACTCTGCATGGAGTGAGAGAACAGTCAAACACCACCACTGAACAAACTTAGTAACATTCCTCATGTCGACCATATAGGAACATAGAGCCTCACATGCTGCATGGGCTTGTATGGGTTGTCCCAAGCTGAAATGCTTCTGCAAGATGGTCAGGAGTGTGCAGGCAGTGTATTCCTGATCTGCACCCCCATGATCATCGACCATAGGAAGGACAGCAGACACCTCAGCAGAACGACAAGATGTCAAGATGTGGATCATCACTGCATCTTTTCGATGCTATGCTAAGAATACATCCCAATCCTGCTGTGTAGATGCCTGATGTAACATCGGAGGATAAGTTGGTACTCTTATTGGATTTAACATGATGATGCCAAGCAGAGGATCCTCAATTATATGAGGAAGGATGCCATTCAGATCCATAACTGTCTTGATGGCTCAAATCCATAGCAACCAAGTGCTCCTCCCCATGAGTTCAGGAATGAAAGAAGTAGAAGGAGTAGCTATGGAAGAAGATGGAGAAGAGTACATATAGTAATTATAGGTATGTTGTATCAGTTGATTATTATTTTTGGTATTCATTTGATGGTTGTTTTGTACAGTAGGTTGCAACAGTTGATTTTGGGAATGCATAAAGGGAAAAGGAAAATAATTGGTAGGTACATTATAAGATGGTTGCATGGGAAAAGAAGGCTGTGCTAGAAACAAAGGTTGCACTGGATTTACTGGTATATGAGATGAAGAAATGGAAGGAGCTACACTAGGAGGGCAACGAAAAGAATTATTAGAAGAAGACAGTGTAAAACAAGAGGAATTATATGAGTCATTGACATACAGACCAGGCACAGAGTGAAGAGATGGGTTCACAGGAGGAGCACCAGGTGGGTACAGATTCGGCCACAATGAGTGTGAGTGTTGGAATGAGAGCTGTGAAGATTGACTAGAAATTGCACCCAATGACAGTAAGGATTGCACCGAGTTATGAGATGGAAAAACTGGAGGAGGTGCAGGTGGCCAGAAGACATCTGGAGCAACAGATGGCCATTGGGCAGGAGGCATACGAAACATGGAATATATGCATGTACACTGACCGACAAAAATAAAGAAACACATGGTTTTTTTGATCGGAGTCGCAATAGCTCCTCAATGCTGTGATATTTTTTTGGACTTCCAGTGGGTGTAATGTAGCTTGATATCTGTAGTTTAATATTATGAAAAGAATGAGGCAAAAATACCAGTCAGTGAGCAAAGTAAGAGGGCTGTGAAACCACATGCCAATTTTGATGATGTAATAGCATCACATCAACGTCGGAACCAACTTGAATCTGAACCACCACCTGGGCCAATTGCACTGAAATTCCTATCATGTATTCACCTCCTCCTCGCAAACCAAATGTGCCTATTACCCCTATGAAAGCAGCCTGTATTTGCACTCTCCTCAATGAAGGCCACACCTGCACTGAAATCAGCAATGTCATTGGATGTTCGTGCTCTACCGTCTGCAAAACTGGCCACAAATATGAAGGGAAGGAGAACTACTATGCTCGCATCGAAGGGTGAGGCTGCCCATGCAAGATGGACGATGCAGATATTAAATTTGCCATGCAAAAAATCCGTAGTCACGACTGCCAGACAGCGGTCAATGTTCAATGGGGGTATTTCGACCATCTTTCGGAGCGCACTGTGCAGTGCAGGCTTTCAGATGAGGGCCTAAAGGGTTACAAGAGGTGGAAGGTACCAATGCTCATGAAGGCTCATGTTAGAAAGCGAGGGGTGTGGACAGAGACACATGCAGAATGGGGAGCAGAAAAATGGGGTACTGTGCTCTACTCAGATGAGTCCAAATTCAACTTCTTTGGGTTGGATGGAGTGCAGTGGTGTCATAGGGGTCCTGGTGAGGCACTAGATGTGCATAACATGTTGCCCTGGTTGAAGCATGGAGGTGGGGGGGTGATGGTCTGGGGATGCATGACGAGTTTGGGCTTCGGACAGCTGATTTTGGTGGAAGGCACTATGAATGCTGTCCAGTACTGCCAGATACTTAATGAAGGACTTCTCGGCACCCTCCAGGACTACAAACTCTCAGTCGATGATGTCCTTTTTCAGCAGGATAATGACCCCAAGCACACAGCTCGGCTTACGAAAAAGTGGCTTGCTGACCAAAACATCTCTGTAATGGACTGGCCACCAAACAGCCCTGACCAAAGCATCATAGAGAATGCTTGGGCTACTCTCGAACATCGTCTGAACAACAGACCATGTCACCCAACAACGACTGCCACATTATTTGCCATTCTGCAGGGAGTGGGCTGCACTTGGAAAAGAGTATTGCAATGCATTATATGGTAGTATCCCATCATGGGTGAGGTCCTTGATATTGGCAAAGGGCAGGCATACTAGATATTAGGTTGTTGGACTTTTTGTCAGGTCAATTATCTTGTTTTCTCATTTTACTTACACTGCTAAAAATGACACTCTCGGCTAACATATTTATATCTCATCATTTTTTTCATGTATGTACCTCATTCTTTTTCTAACAATAAACTACATCAATTAAGCTATATTTCTCTCACTGAAAGTCTGAAAAAATATTACAGCATTGAGGAGCTATTGCGACTCCAATCAAAAAAACCATGTGTTTCTTTATTTTTGTCAGTCAGTGTATATGCATTGAGAAAAGCGAGGTATGAGACTGGGTGGGTTGCAGAAATGTTCGTCTATGGCAGCCAGGTGAGAGGAATGGTCATCTGTCACCAAAAAACTAAGGACAGAGGTGCCATGGGATGAAACAAGGCAATATGGCTAGAGCAAAAATTGGCAAGTCACAAGAGAATATTTGTGTCATCTACCAGTAGGTCAGGCTGAGTATAAACCCATAACCTGTCAGCCAGAGGTACCTGTACTGATACGATGAATGTCAGACTATAGTATAGGGATAAGTGAGAAAGATGATACAAAATATAGAAAGAAATGAACATACCTCCTCAGTGCACAGATAGTGAAGTAGTGACTGAGGAGGAAAGAAGACAATATGTAGTATATATAAGTCTGGAGAGATCATGTGGTACACATGTGATCTTGACATGATGTGAATGCATAAATCCAATGTCCATCAAATAAGCACCACACCAGCTAACATACTCACCTTGAGATTCTCTTTGTGCCTTGCAATTCCTTGATGGTGTATGATGAAAGTGATATATTATTACAAGTACCTACAGGTACAGTATCAGCATGAATATTCATAATGTGAGATGCATCATGATAAACTCTGGCTGGCGAAGTAGAATTGCTAAGTCCTATGCCAGTGTCTCTTTTACTTCCTCGATCCCTGTCGAGCTAGCAAGGTCTTCCTCCTCTATCTCAGCCAGGATGGCTCTGAGATGGGTTGCAAAAGTCGATGGTTTCTTTGGCTTGATTAACCACTTCAACTTGTCAGACAAGCACTTATTGTCTTGTCTGAGATGTCCAGTGTGTCTGCACTGGAAATATTGCTTTTTTCTTCTGAGATGATCGATGTCCATAGGGTTGCCTTCACCACCGTATGTGATTCCAGTGGCATCCCTTTTGTTGCCCTTCAAACTCATCGAAGAGCCCCCTGCTGCTCTGGGCCTGAAGCCTATAGTACTGCTGGGATATCTGCCACCTTGGATGATGTGAACTCGATAGTTCTTGTCCATCTGGCTGACTCAGCACTTCCACTCCCAGTAGGTGATAGGGCACATATTATCTCCAGCCATAATGATCTGCTTGACATTAGGCCAGATCACAAGGGTGATGACTTCCTCCATTTTCTCATTATTGTGGAAGTGTTTCACTTCCACTGCCATTTCTTCAAACTTCTTGAAGAACTCCATGGCTGTCTTGAACTGCGACTGTTGCAGTTTCTTCCACTGGACATGCTTGATTTGGACCTCCACTACTTCCTTGAAGCATTTGCGAATGCTTTCTTGGAAGGCTTCCCAGATAGGAACATGATGCCTTCTACTGTGCAGGTCCTTGTAGTGTCATTGCTGGTGGACCCACCAGCTCATCGCATTCCCATCAAACAGGAGGGCTGTTTGTTGGCAATCTCCCAGCTGCCTGGCAGATCAGGCGGTAAGGGGGGATTTTCAGGGTGAGGCAGTGATCATAGATTTGGGTCACTGCAGGGTGATGGTGGTGCTGGGGGCTGAGATGGTATGGGTGGAGATCCACCACTGTCACCTCTGCCTCCTCCAGATCCTCCTGGACCACTGCCATCTCCTCCTGGTGCAGCTGGTGCAGGTCCACCTTCCTCCTCTGATGATGCTGATTGGGTGGGGTCTCCACCCATGCTGCATACCAGATCTCATTCCAGTCCCATACATCCGTGAAGTATCTGCAGTACTCATCCCAGATCTCCACAGTGTCTGCCCATTCCCAGATCCAGGGCCATAGCCCTTGGGGGGGGGGATGAAGTCTCTGTCATATCCATCAGATAAGAACCCTCCCTTGGGTGTGAGGAAAGGTACGAGCTCTGGGGCATGTCTTCTCTATCATACCCATCACTGGCCAAGGTCCTGAGTCATCAGCAGATGGCACAGTTACAGTAGGGGTATGGATGGAGGTTTGCCTGATCAAGCTCCTCGGGGACATGGTTTGGGAGGATGATAGGATCCGGAAGGGGTTGGTTTCTGGCAAACCAGTCAAGGAGCCTGTCTCTCTTGGGAGTGTCACCCAGGAAGACAACCCACTGGTCCTCACTAAACAGGGATCTGGAGTGGGTATAGTACTCTGGTAGCTCCTTGCTATTGGTGTCAGAGTACTCGGTGAAGGCGACATTATTGGGTCCATTGATGAGTTTAAACTTCTGTGGCAACAGCAAAAACCAAAACTCTAGAGAAGTTCACAGCAAATGGCATGTAGTAGCAATAAAGGCTTTGTTGTTGTGTGAGTGTTTTGGTGCACCTCCGTGTGATGAATTTCTCAAGAATGCAAGTATACACTGTGACTTTTCAGTCAGCAAAGTAGTACCCTTAACAATCGAGTACTAGAAAGTGTTGGCTATAAGCTGGGAAGAGTCTTGATAGATGAGAAGGAACAGAATCTGGTATAACTGAGAATACTGGCAAGCCATGAACAAAGTGATGGCAATTAACTAGTAAAAGCCATGGGCAGAATTGGTGGAATTAATGGAAATGCTGTCAAAGAGAAATACCATTGGGCAAGATAACAAATACCGTGAT